TTGGGTCATGCTGAGAACATTGATACCAACATTTCCGTAGTCAGCCAAACTTCCTGTCCGCCATTTTGATTTTCTTTAAAAACCTACTTTTTCGAACTCCTCCTAGACCGTTGGTCCGATTTTCACCAAAATCGAATCATATCATCTTCAGACCTTGCTGACAAAAAGTTATGGATTTGTGTTGATAGACAAAACCGTTTTTGCATACCACAGCCATGAATTTGAGGCATGATGCCAAAATGAGACTTAAGGCTGTATCTCTGCAATACTTTGGCATATTGACACCAAACTTTGTGTGCGCCATTGTAAACTCACACAGAACACACCACATCGATTTGATAACAGCGCCACCTATTGGTCAAACGTGATAGGCCAATAAATCATATTACTAGTGGCTGTATTTATGATTTTTCAGCCGTTTTGACTAAAATCATCTTAAAATGGCTTATATTACTAATTTTTGCAGTTGGCCTGATGCTTGCTTCTGTAGTGCTTGGCCCTGTAATTGCTGCTTGCAGCTATATTTATTATATTATTACTTTTATACTATTAAGCTGAGACTACTATTCTCAACCTGTCAGCTATGGCCAAACCATTTTATAAACTTCTGAAGTCAACAATGGCATGAACCTGGACCCATCTGCAGCAGGAGGCATTTCAATGCGATAAAGATGTTCTCTCCACTTTTCTAGTCCTAACGTTCTATGGTGTGACTCTACCTACTGCTGTTTCAGCCGATACAAGCAGTTACAGCCTTTAAAAGGCATGATTTTACAGCTTCACAATGGAGACTGGAAACCAGTAGTATATTGTTCTCCAAGTCTGTCTGAGGCGGAGTCAAGTTACGTCCAGATTGAGATAGAATGTCCTGCAAGTGCTTGGATGAGTGAAAAGTTTGAAAAGTGCTTGATCTTGAGAAATTTACATTAGTGACAGACCAAAAGCCTTTGGCACTAATGAACGAAGTACTTGGACCATGGGCCTTTCCAAATACCCACACTTGCGGCCTTGGCCACTTGAGAGCATGTGCACACAACAGGAAGTGCGCAAGACCCAGGACTTAAAGACGCCAAAGCTCTGTGCCTTAAAGGGGTCATATGATGCGATTTAAATTTTTCCTTTCTCTTTGGAGTGTTACAAGCTCTTGGTGCATAAAGAAGATCTGTAAAGTTGCAAAGACTAAAGTCTCAAATCCAAAGAGATATTCTTTATTAAAGTTAAGAGTCAACCACGCCTTCCTAAAATGCCTCGTTTAAACACGCCCCCACATGTCTACATCACGATGTGGGAAGTTTTGCATAACGCCGCCCAAATGTTCACGCAATGAAAGAAGGCATAACTTTGATTCTCGCTGTAGTATTGTTGCCGCCACCGCCATGTCGTGGAGACGCTGTGTGTTTCGTTGTGAAAGCGAAACTACTTTGTTTGGCCTTCCAAAAGAGGACGATATCCACTTCGTCATGCCTAGAGCTAATCTGTGCTGGTCGCTGAGGAAATAAATCAACTTCGCACTGTGGATCGCCGGATCGGCTTTCACCGTGGACGAAGCGGAGTCCAGCCAATAATGTTCTTTTTAGCAACGTCATATGACCCCTTTAAATGCACACTAAACCCACACTATAAAAGCTAAGTGTGTCCCATCATGCATCAAAAACTCACATGCTCTGAATCACGAGATGTTGAGGAAAATATTCCACTGCAAGTTAAATTAATTAGATATTACATATAATTTGGTAGTAAAACAAAGTGTTGTTGTATGTATGTATATATGTATATGTGCATTTTGTACATCATTTGCAACTGCTTTATATCACTTAATTAGAAGTGTGTCCCTGTTACAGGGACTACTAAACAAGAAGTTAAGAAGTATTGAAAATCTAGATAAAGCTCTGTAAACACTTGTATTTTTACAACAGTGTGTTCCATACAGTAATCAAAAGTTCAACACACACTTGTGGTCTTGAGCCAAACTTGAACACTTGAGGAAAGACGTCATGCAAGTAGACAAGTGGCCAAGTGCAAAGACCACAAGTGTGAGTATTTGGACAGGCCCAATCTTCTGTTGCATTTTTAAAGACTGCTCATGAGACTGGTCATGATGAGATTCAAACCAACTGTACAATATGCGCCAGGCAAAACTTTGGAAATGGATGACACCCTATCACAAAGCCCAGTCGAGGGTGAAGGCAAAGACATCGACACTCATTCAGATGTTAAGATATTGCACCTGTTGCGGATGGAATGCGGCAAGTCCATCAAAACTCAGAAGCCATCAGGGCATCTACAGCTGCTGATAGTGATTATATCCAGTCAGTATGGCCCAGCAGCAACTAGACAGTACTTCCCTTTCAGAAATGAACTGCTGTCTATTCACAATGGAATAATGACAAAAGGAATCATAATAATTCCAGATAACATGAGAGCAGCAATTCTGTATTGAATACACAATAGGCATCAAGGTTTGGCAAAGTGTAGGGAGTGGGCTAAGACATCTGTGTAAGATGTAAGGAGAAAGACACAATGGAGAAACAATGAAAAGTCGAGGGTTGATACGGATGATTGGAAGGCCTCTTGTCCACTAAGATTCGAAGACCATATTTAACTGTCATATAAACTTGTATACAGTACACAGCACAAATGACTACACCCCTCTGAATCTTCAATTCTTCAGTTTTGCTGGTATTTTGTCATCTTCCCACAAACTGTAGTGATCATTAAGAAATAGAAATATATCTTTATGTTCAGAGGGAGTGTACGCCCTCTTATGCTGTGCACTGTATATAGGCCTAAAGACTTATTATTCATTATATCAATCAGCGTACATAATCAACAAGATAGGCAACTACGGCTTTAAATGTGAATTAATTTAAATAAAGAAATAAATCCCAGTTAGCATTTTGACATTTTTGTACACAAGTATTATTTATAAATATTTTTATTCTATAAACATAATTTAAATCAAAAGTCATTTAAAACAGTGTATTAAATGGCTTTGATTTTTTTCTTTGGCTTTCGTTTCTTGCACAATGAACAATAAGGGATTATTCTACTTTTAATCAACTGTGTTTAATTCTTCTGTACTTTTCTCAAACGGTTTTATTGTTGCTCTAATTATTATTTGGCAGGCAGAGTGGTATTTTTAAAAATCAATTAAGGAGAGAATCTTAGGTCAGTGTACGTTTTGATCATTTCATCTCCTATTTGGAATATAATAACGAGAAATGGAAAAACGGCTCGTTTATTCGTTTTTCCGTTTAGTTTAACAAACGGAAAATGAGATTTTGGCTCGATTTCTCATTTTTCGTTTGGGGTTTAAAAATCGGTTTATGGCTTCAATATTTGGTTTAGGTAAACATTACCTACCCATATCAGGGTTACATTAGGGTTAGGGAATAGAATGTACAATTTGTACAGTATAAAAAATCATTATGTCTATAGAACTTTCCCATAAAAGATAAAAAAACCAACAACCCAATTGGAATGTACTCTATGCTTGATGTGTAGACTAAAATATCTGTTCATAATCTGTGATTGGGATTACAAAATTCCAATACGCATAGCACCGGGAGGTGTCTGGATCGAATAACTTTAACTGTGCAATGAACAACCCGCATTTTTAAACCAGCTAATTTTACAGTATTGTTCAGAATGCGTTATCGATGTTTTTCGCGCATAATGCCAACGACCGCACAAGGGGCCTCACTGAAAAAAAAGTTTAATTACCTGAATCATTACCCTACATTTTTTTAATTTGATGAATGAAAATTTTTTTTCTGAGTGTTTGTGAATATATTGGAGAGCAGAACACTATTTTAAAATTGTTCTTTAAGATGTATTTTGGCATTAATGTTTGCATTCAAGGTTTTCATAGATTGATAGATGATAGATGATAGACAGACAGACAGACAGACAGACAGACAGATTGATAGATTGATAGATAGACAGATAGATGATAGATGATAGATGATAGACCTCTTTTCTATCTCATTCTTTTCTTTTGAACTGAGCTGGCTACACAGGCTTACATTCATACATTTAAACTTTATTTATAATTTATTTCATGAATTTAACTTTATTAATTTTCACAATTATTTATTCATGTCACACACACCTACCTAGTGCCTTTTGACTTAAATAAAAGACGAGAGTGGGAAATGTTACGGACATATTATCATGGAACTGTTCAGTCTATTATTGATTTTTATTTCCACTTCACTTTTATCCAAAGAGACGGAACTATTTGCACTGTATTTATCAATGGGACAATATTCATACAATACTAATAGGCTACCTAGAAATAATCTGTCAGCATACTGTAACTCGCATTAAAGGGGTCACTTGCAAGTCGCAGCAGCACGAATTATGTGCCCAGCAAAATCTGATTAAAATATTATGCGTAATTAACAGTGAGTGGTGGTTTCAGACATTATAGTGCCGCACTCGTACTGACTTTTATTCTGCCTGAACGAATGAAAAGGCCGTACTGAAGGCGGATTCGACCAATCAGCTGAAAGGGGCGTTTCAGCGCCGCCCACACGTGCGAATGAAATATTGAAGCCATAAACCGATTTTTAAACCCCAAACGAAAAATGAGAAATCGAGCCAAAATCTCATTTTCCGTTTGTTAAACAAAACGGAAAAACGAATAAACGAGCCGTTTTTCCATTTCTCGTTATGATATTCCAAATAGGAGATGAAATTATCAAAACGTACAAGGACCATCTTACTATAGTATGTCTTATCTTATCATATCATTGTCTCCTCTGCATATACTATACTATCTTATAGTAGGCCTATACTATGTCTTATTTACGAAGTCTAACGATTAGCGAAGCTCCCGTTTGTGGTGGGTCGGCATAAATTCCAATGTAAATGCGAGAGCTGAATAAAAGCGAAATCAGTTGAGAAACACTACATGCAGGTCTTATTTCACCCCAAAACCAAAATTAATGTCTTTCAATAATAAAATTGATCCCATTTGAACCATTCTTTCCACAAACCTGGAACCTTTTCTTTACCCGGAAATGATTCCATCGCTTTTCCTGTATTCCCGAATTCAAATTGCGATATCTGATGGAAATAACACAAAAAACTCAACACCACGTTCAGGAAATTAGAGAGGAAACAACAAGGAGTTTTAAGAAGAAAAAGAAAAGGAAAAAGACGAAGAAGTCAAATATAACATAGCCGAGTTCATGAGGCCTCGTGTGAGGCAATAGTTGAAACCGTTCACCTTTCTTTACGAAACATTACCACTCATCGCAAGCACATATACAGCAGTCTAATCTAAAGTTCCATGAAACAACAACAATAATAACAATAAAACGTTTAAATAGATTACATTTTTTAAAGTTTAAACATAAGCATTATTTACAGGTTTTTGTCTGTTCCTTACCTGTTCTGAGCCTGTCTCTTCCTGTAAAGCTGTAAACAGCGGCACACCTGCTTTCGGTTTGTTCAGGAAACATTCTGTTCTATGCAAATTAGGGAAAGGCCACGTTCTCTTTATGCAAATATTACGGAGCTAAAAGTCTGAGCCATTCAATCAAGATATAGAACAACGGAGCTGTTATGTAATATTCAGCGCCTGTGACAAACTGTTCCAGTGGGTGGAGTAAACATGAAAATTAATTTTAACATATTTAATAAATAATAAAAATAGATGCTGACGCATTAGACGCTATGCACTCTACCGCCTAGTGTATGAATTTCAGAAATGAAACACTGACGTTTTATTATTATTATTATTATAATAGTTTAATTTTTTATAATTAATTATTATTATTATTATTATTAAAGCTGAAACAAAAAGTTTGTTGTTTTATATTTTCCCTAAAAAATAAATAAATAATAATAATACAAACTACATCACCCATTATTATACCAAAGGTTATGCATTTTTAGAAAAACTCAAGAGATCAAATTAATTGAATTTTAAGCCAATCATACATATCAGACAAAAAAAAAGCTATTTACTGAACAGTCAAAAAAACAAATGTACTATTGTTAGAATTTCTGATTTACAAAAAGTAGTTGTGTGAACAGTATTAAATCTCTTAGAATGGGTAAATATCATTAAAAAAATGAATTTTATTTCCTTAGCTTTGGGAGGTATAGTGAAGGAAATATACATGGCTTTTAATTTATTATTAGAGCCCTTGGTGAAAACCTGAGTTACTTTATTTCTGAAAACTTGATTCTGAAATCTACATTGGATCAACAAATTATGTATTGTAATTATGTATTATGTAAATTATGTATAGCTTCATTTACATTGGATATTGTGTTTCTAACCAACAAAACAAAAGCCTTTGGAATACAACTCAACGCTTGATCATACACCCAGGTAGCCAAAATGTTTGGCCCGATAATGGTCCAGATTCGGCAGGCCAGAAGAAATAACTCGGCCCGGCTGCACTTGCCAGACTCGGCGTGGACATGGGATGAATGACACCCCAGAATCGGCCCAAATACACTGGCCCAAGTCCACTGCCGAAACTGCCGGCATTGGGCCACAATCACACCGACAAGAATTGTAACACTTAACCAGTACTGGCTAAGAGAATTGCTACAAGAATTGTACCCCTCCCTCTCAGCTGGTCATGAGGCAGTGCTGGCTTTATATGCTGGCTTTCTCCTGGCTGCAGCCAATCAGTGGAGCTGAGGTGAATGGGCAGCAAATCAGCAACAGGTGAACCCAATCACCTGCATGAGAATGTAATAATCACTTTAATCTAGCTTGCGCTCACTGTTGTATACTGGAAGCAGTTCCGGCCAGATGACGTATGAGGTCAGTGCTGCGCATGCGCCAGTGAGACTCGTGAAAACCAACGTTTATTAACAGGAGCAAAGGAAGCAAAGTTTCCTTACTTTAGCAAAAGAAAACCAGTCTCCTCTTGGCTTATATCGAAATCCTCCGACATTCTTCTTTACAAATCCTCGTTTTGTACTATTTTTCTTACAAAAACGCATCAATTCGCTACAGAAGGCCTTTGTTCACCCCCCCGGAGACGTGTGCCATCTTTTGATGAACTTTTAAATCTCTCCATCTGATGCTCTGATTGAAATACAATGAGCAGGAGGTTGGAGCATGCTACCAGACTTGACAAACCCTGCCGGGAAAGGCTTTGCGGCTGCTGATGTGCGATTTGCTGCTACCCTACAGCTCTCCAGGACCTCCGCCAGCTTGGCCAGGACTTGATCATGGCGCCACCTGAAGCGTCCCTGGGTCAACGCCACTTTGCACCCTGATAAGATATCCTGGATGCTTGCCTTGATGTTGCCACACAGGGGGCAGCCTACCTCGTCTCCAAACCACTGGGTGAGGTTCCGGGGGCATGGGAGGGTGTCATAGGTCACCCTTAACAGAAAGCTGAGCCTGGATTGTGGCGTCCTCCAGATATCTGCCCAGGTGATGCGCCTGTTCACAGTCACATCCCATCGCGTCCAGGCTCCTTGACTGCCCTGGGATATTGCCTTTACGTGGAAGCGCTCCTGCTCCAGCCTGGTAATTTCATCCACCACCATGGTCTTCTGCTGCCTCTTGGTGGCTTTAGACCAGAGGTGCTGTGGCGCTCCCCAGCCTAGGCCAGCCCGACCGGTCTGGACTAACCCCATCACCTCTTGGTGTTGCAGACTAGAGATAGCATGCTCTACTTCAGCTTGCGCTTTCCATTTGCGGCCTGTGCGGGTGGGGACTTTCGCACTCCTTATAAGTGGGTCCGCTGAGTCCTTTAGCTCCAATACAAGGCGTGCCTTCTCTTGCTTGTACCCTAGGCTGATGGATTTGATGGGGAGCTCCAGCATATTCTGGCCGAAGAGACCTGCATCCGAAAAGCAGCGGGGCAAGCCCAACCACTTTCGAATGTAGTTATTGGCGAGGCTGTTCATCCTGCTAACCTCCGATATGGGAATTTCATTGACCTTTAGAGGCCACAGCACACGTTGGTATAATATGTGCTGATAGCACCACACTTTCTGCTTCCCAGCCAGGTGGATTTGCTCAATTCTTGCCAAGTCCTCTGCAAGTTGTTGCCTGGCTAGCTTCCCCATCTGCCTGTCAGATAAATCTGTGGTGTGCTGCCTCCCCAGGCTTCTCAATGGTTTCTCATCCAGCCGAGGAATGGGCTCCCCTCCAATGACGAAGGTGGTCCTGACATGCGGCACGGCTTTCCTTATCGAGAGACTTCTTGATTTTTCAGCCTTGCTCTTCATTCTTGCCCACTTAAGAAGCTCGTCAAAGCACTTGAGGAGCCTGGTCGTGCATGGAGCCGTCTGAAGGATGCTTGTTACATCGTCCATGTAGCTCCTCAATGGTGGAAGCCTCTCGCCTGATGGTAGCTTGATGCCCCTGACAACTTGCCTGGCCCCTCTGAGGATTACCTCGAGAATGGGGGAGATGGCACACCCCATGGCAATCCCGCCAAATAATTACTACTATGGTCTGAAAGAGATAGGGGAGAAATGTCGATTTCAAGTATCATTGAGGTAAAGGAAGAGAAAGCAAAAATGTAGTCAATCCGTGAATATGATTTGTGTCTAGCTGAGAAAAATGTATATGATTTTTGGGAAGGGTTAAATAACCGCCATGCATCTACTAATGAAAAAGAGACTATGCATTGTTTGAGTTGCTCAGTAGAAACATTCTGGGAATAAGAAAAATGGTCACCAGACCACCATTTCTGTCTAATATGGAGATATTTAGATTCCTTCTAACAATTATTAATACACCTTTAATTTTATTGTCAGTCGCGGAGAAAGAGACCACCTCGTAATATTTATTGTTGCATCTATTAACATCATCCTTCTGCAAATGAGATTCCTGGATTAAAGCAATGTCAACCTTTCTTCGTCGCAATGATTCTAAAAAACGTGTTCGCTTATGGGGGCCATTTAAACCAATTACTGTACATTACAAGTAAAGCCCGGCTCACACTGTGCGATTTTGGCCACGATTTGGCCGTCTGAGACAAATTTAGAAAATCCTAAAAGATTCCTATAATCCTAGGCTAAAATCTGTAGTCTTTGATTGCTGGTTTGACATGTTCACCGACAGCCGATTAATGGCCGTTGCGATCAAATTTTACCTCCAACGAAAGTCTGGCAGTGTCAGAGGATTTGGCGCACAACCCTGCAGTGTGACTTCTCCTACGACGAACGTCAAAGACAAGCCATGTTCAGAATTAATGCTAGAGATTTCTTCTATCCACCATAATCTCCAGCGCTCCCGTCCTCCGGTCACGGGATTCATATGATATGTTGCCTTTGCTTTGATAAACACTGGTTGGGCCGCTGATTTCATGTGGGTGTGTAGTGATTATGGCAAGCTCACACTACATGACTGAAAGACTAGCCGAATCACTGTGTTGCTCACACTACGCAACAAGTTTTCTTCTCATCTGTCGTCGTCTTGTCATAGCTGTGCGCATACTATAACACAAACGAGGTGCACACACTACGAAACATTCAGTGAAGAGGCGTTTCCGACCATCAGCGAAAATACGTTTTCTCACATAAATTCTCATGAGAAATTACAGCGATTATAGGCCATATCTTCAAGCATGGACGATCAACTGGCCCTTCAATTGGTCTGTGCAGTTATTTTATCCGAAAGAAAGAAGAAACCAGGACATAAGAGAATATGGCAGAAACAATGGCTTGGTAGACGTGGACAACAAGGACTAATTGGTCTGTGCAGTTATTTTATCCGAAAGAAAGAAGAAACCATGACAAAAGAGAATATGGCAGAAACAATGGCTTGGAAGACGTGGACAACAAGGACTGTCAGTACTGCAGAAAGAGTTGGAGGTAATTAAACAGTACAATGAAACGTACAATGGTATTATATACACAATCTATGCATTTGTTACATTTATTTCTAGTTAGTTGATTTTATTAATTTGTGGCTTTTCATTTCTGTTCATAAAGATGCATGGTAAGAGTGTTTATACCATCTGCACTGTGATTGGCTGGATTAGTTCCACCTTGTCATTGTGTTGCTCACATTACGAGATCACGTGGCGATAATATCAAACAGGTCTTATAAATCAAAATCTTATAAATGTGCAAAGATGGGTTGGAAGAAACAATGGAGTACAGGTGCATCTCAATAAACTAGAATGTCGTGGAAAAGTTAATTTATTTCAGTAATTCAACTCAAATTGTGAAACTTGTGTATTAAATAAATTCAATGCACACAGACTGAAGTAGTTTAAGTCTTTGGTTCTTTTAATTGTGATGATTTTGGCTTACATTTAACAAAAACACACCAATTCACTATCTCAGCAAATTAGAATACTTCATAAGACCAATAAAAAAACATTTTTAGTGAATTGTTGGCCTTCTGAAAAGTATGTTCATTTACTGTACATGTACTCAATACTTGGTAGGGGCTCCTTTTGCTTTAATTACTGCCTCAATTCGGCGTGGCATGGAGGTGATCAGTTTGTGGCACTGCTGAGGTGGTAT